CAGGATATTCCAGTGAAATTGTTTTCAATGGGATTTTGCTTTTCGATTTTACGTTTCTTTTTTTTTTTTTGCCTTTGGCCCCATTGTCTAGCCCGGGATGGATATGGCTCGATATGGCTTTTGCTTCTGCTCGAAAAAAAAAAATAAAAAATAAAAACTAGCTGACATTGATTGCCTGTGTTATGTTTTTTTTTGTGGAGTCCTGCCATGATGAGAACCTGCATGGCCAGGAGTTGAACACGTGTGTGTGTGTGTGAGTGTGCTGAATGCAACTGCGTTTCACGTTTACACATTGATTGATCCTGGCATTGTGCTTGGGCGCTTTTGTAGTCTAACTGCGGTTAGTTTTCATCATGTCAACAATCAAGTCAAAGTAGAGCCCGCATCTAGTCTCTCTTTCTCACTCTCCCTCGCCCTCTCACTCACTATCTATCATTCTCTGCTCTGACTGCCTTTTGTGAAGGGTTGTACGCACTGTAAAGTCATTTAACTACCGACAGTTCACACTGTGCTAAATGTAGCGTGTGTTGAGTCTCAATAAAATAGCAGAAAAAAAAATGGGATACCAAAGTGAAATGCAATATCATAGATTACCTTTTAGCTGCTGCTGCTGCTGGCAAAGATAGTACTACGGCTCGGGGATGGCTCTTGCTGTGCCGTTTGCGATAGCGACTCTAATGATCGAGCCCAACGATCGTGTCATGCTGTTTCAACAATCGCTTGCACCAGATATTTTTGCGATTTCGTTAGAAGTTTTAGTTTAATCTTGAAGAAGTTGAACTCACCCAAGATGATTAGCAAATGATCAGCGCTGCAGATTAGCGGATCAAAGTAAAGTCTGAATAGATACAGATCAACTGAAGTAGGCAGAAGATGAAATGTCAGCTCTGTTCAATATATTCGTCGAGAAGATGTGGGGATCGATCTGGTCAGCTCTGCTTGATATCTTCTTCGAGATGATGTTTAAAAAAGCAGAATTCAGCGATCTAGTCAGCTGATCGTGCAATGAAGGCTTTGTGGTTGTAGAAGATCGTTTAGCATTGCATTTATCATGAATCTCAGTTTGAATATATGCATAAATATATGTTTCTTTGGTTATTATTTTGGTTGGATTTTTACGCTCGCCCAACTGTTCGATACATGATCTGATCAAATTGAGTCAGCTGTAGGCAAATTATAAGCCTAGAATCTGTAGATTAGATTATTTTGAAGGACTGATCTTGTTTCATTTTCATTATATTATGAATTGATACTCTCTAAGCTGATCTCAATTGGCAGCTATTGCCTTTATCTTCAACTAATCTCGTCTTAATTTCCTTAACTACTTCGATTACTCTACTCAACGGTTTTCCAGTAAAACTGATCTCAACTTGAAATTAAATATTTTTGATCTCAATTAGTTCAACTGATCTGCCCATATATACATATATATGTATATATTCCCCAAATATCTAAATACTTTAGTGTGTTGTTTGTCCATTAATGAGTTTTCTTGGTAGTCTTGACAAAATGATCGCCCCGTCTAGAGCTGATCGTGGCAACAACTCAATTGGATTGGCCCAGGCTATAGCTCTCGCCTGGGATTTGTCTGGTAGCACTCGGCGTCGCCTTATTAACGAGCTACTAGGAAAGTGGACAACTGTCCGACTACCACTTGACGCCTGCGCTAAGTGCGAAATCTGACAAGAATAAGTTCGAGTGGCCATTGATCGATGGCTAAAATCTATGCTGGACTCTCGAGCTCGAACTGCTCGGGCTAGAAATGGAAATGGGAAAAAAAAGGAGTCACAGCGCGTGGAGGCGCAACAAGCGCTCTCGTATTTTGACACATGGCTCATAAATCTTGTCCAGCGATGCGTTGCCCGTCATAAAGTCACATAACACACATAACTCATGGAAATCGACTGCACTAGTACAAGCGGGCAGGACAAGTGTCCTTAAGGAGCAACGACGGGGCTGCGCCCAGTTTTCCTTTGAATTGCGACACGATAAAATAACATGAGACTCAAATTTCCAACATTGCTAGAAATATGCATGCCCAGACAGACAGATACGTATGTATATGGATGATATGAATGTATGTAGAAAAACACAGGCGCATTATAAAAATAAATAAACGACAAGCACTTCAGGACCGCGCAGGACAATGTCTATAGATATACATGTGTGTGTGTGTGTGTGTGTGTGTATATGGGAGCCAAGGACTCGTGTGTCTGCCTCTCTGGATGCAAAACAAATGCGCACTTCCTGCGACGTTCGAAACGGCGGACATGTCTCGATCTAAAGTGGCGCACAAAAGAAGTTACTTCCTGGCTAAAAAAAAAAAAAAAAAAACAAAGCCCTAATGATGTCATTCATTTCATACGCTTCGCTTCGATTAAAAAAAAAAAAAAAAAAAGAAGCAAAATAATGAAGAAGAGAGAGAAAACATTGAAGTAGAAAAGGACCAGCTCAAATGAATTTATTGCAATTGCTGTCTGTCGTCCGTCCATGTTCAGTTATTTGAGCATTGGCTAAGCTGAAATCTGAAATCTTAGCTAAAATTGCATAAAAACTGAAACGTTGAACAGCGCGCACGTCAGCTCAGCCGGAGTCCTATTAAGGGACATTGGCTTAGTCTCGTATTTTGACACCTAGCAGCAAGTCCTTGTCCATGCCGGACACTGAGCCGAGCCGCGCCGAGCCGAGCGGAGCGCAGGTCTAAGCTTCCTCTCGATATGCGCTTAACAATGCACGGATTTCAGCCATCGCCCTCGCTCGTTTCCTGGTCGCATCTTAAGCTGACATACAATCATATTTCGCATTGTCCTTTTCTTTTTTTTTCATTTTTGCATTGCTTTGCCTTTGCCTTGCTTATAGCTACCGTACGTACGTATGTACCGCTCGCGCATTCTCTAACTACCTACCATTTGGCACTGCCTCCCTTTTCGGCAGCAGCTTCCTTCCTTCCTTCCGTCCTTTGTTGTGCAGCGTCTTTTGAGGCAAATTCTAGCTGAAAAAAAAAAAAATTTATTTCAGTTGGCTCGGYGTTTCTTTCGGTTTCCTGTCCTCTCGGCCCGCTGGCTGGGCGGGTCAGATATGCGGAGCAACACCCTACGGACGCTCCTCTCAGCCAGCAGCACTTCCTTTGATTCCTGCACGTGTCCGCTATGGACACATTTGCATAAACAATATTTTGTGGGCGTGTCGCAATTTGCATTTCCCTAGATCGCATTCCCAAAAGCAGACACGGCCCACCACCTGGGCATTTAAAATAATTATTTCTCAATATTTGGAATGTCCTGCGTCTTGGCACACGCCTAGGAGCATGCAAGCTCTTCCTTTACTCAATTTCATCTGCTGGCCTGGCAACGCGTCAATAATTTAGGGGTAGTCGAGGTGAGGCGCGGCGCAAGTTCTTACCCCGGAAGTGCATTTTATGCCATGTGATTACGTCCAGCTTTTTCCTTTCTGGGGTGCGCCAGACACGTGAGTGCCTGCCTAGCAGCTCCTAGCTTCGTCGCTGTTGCGTTTGGTCCTGCTTCAGTCTCTCAGGCGTGACTGCCTATTTCCGCTGGCGGCCCAGTCGAGCAATTTATGCGCCATTAACAATGCCAAAGACCAAAAATTGTTAAAACTCGTTAAAAACACATACAACAACAACAACAGCTAAGACAGACCGTGTATATATGTATTATATATCAACAAATATATTTGCTGTTACTTCCGGTCGAGCATTTGATTAGCGCGCGTCATGAGTGGGTTGTCATGGTCGCCCTAGGCAAGCTCATTGCCAGCCAGGAAGTGCTCAAAGTCCTGATGACTCATTATCCATAAAGCACATGTCGATAATTTGTATAGCGAATTTTTGCTGAAAAATATATCATGAGCAATTGACCATGTAGGGCGGAGTCCCAAAGGGATCCTTAACGGAATTAACTTAGAGTTACCTATAAAATATTCTCTATATGCATAAAAGAATGAAGGAAGAAGAAAATGTTATTCCATTTTTGCAGTAAATATTTAGGTTTTTTTTTCTAGATTTTCTAAACTTAATTGAGATTATTTAATTCGTATTTGGCTCGCTTCTACTTTTAGATGTAATCTTTACTCTCTAAGAAATTTCTTCCATATAATTGTCAACTGTTGCTTGTGAAGATACGCATTACAGCTAGCTAGAATCTAGCTCCTTGAATCTAGAGCTCTTCAGATCTATTTATGGAAGTTTATTTTTTCATCTAAGCCACTTGAATGTGCAGAACTTCCATAAATCATAATGTGGATAAGATAGTTGAGCTATTCATATATTCAATGAGCAATTTATGCATGCTTGAGTGTTCTTAAATCTTTTGAGTAACCTCTTTAAAAGATTTACCCTTAACTAAAGAACTCGTTGAATAGTCAAAATTTAGTTTTATATATTAGACTTGTTGTACATGCGGTATATTGTCAATAGCCCTTACAATCTATATGAAAATAGATCATATTATTTAAAGATTGATCGTACATATTTAATTTAAAACATTTTTCTGGCCTCTCTCTCTCTCTTTCTCTCTCTGCATCTGTAGATCTCTGGTTCAATACCTTTCCAGCTCTTAGCTCTTACCACTCTATTCTTCTAACTTTGTTCCTGAAGTCTTACCATGCTTGCCTTAATACACTTAAAATTTTACTTGCGAAATTTGTTATATTTTAA